CGGAAGCGTCTAAGGAAGGGCCTAGGAAGGCGGTCTGGGAAGGGTCTGGGAAGGGTCTGGGAAGGGTCTGTGAGGCCTGGCGGGTACGGCTTGGGGAGGGTCTCGGAAGGGTCGCGGAAGGGTCGCGGAAGGTTCGCGGAAGGTTCGCGGAAGGGTCTCGGAAGGGTCGCGGAAGGGTCTCGGAAGGGTCTCGGAAGGGTCTCACATTGCTCCGCGGTAGGTGACGTGCTCGCGCAGCTTCATCGGCGTGCCGTCGACGGAGATCTCAATGTTGCCCGGGCTCTGCACCAGCTTGAGGCCGGTCGCAGTCACCACGACGTCGCACTCGATCTCGGAGCCTGTCGTTGTCATGACTGCCAGATTGGTATCACTATTCTTCAGCCTCATTGGTAGACATGCGCACTCGAGCTCGCAGCCTGTTCCAACACTGACGCGACGGTGGAGCAACTGCCCCGCTCCCACCGAGGTGTTGCGGCGGGGGCAGCGACGAGCCGTCGGCAAGCTGCACGCCGCGCGCGGTGAAGCGCTCCAGCGCGCACGTCACGATGGACGCGCCTATAGGCAAGTTCCAGGAAAGGTCCAGGAAAGGTCTAGGAAGTCAGCGCGCACGTCACGATGGACGCGCCGCCCGTGCGCAGCGTCGCCAGGAAGTCGCCGTCGGCGTCCAGACAGACCCGCTGTGTCCACGGGTCGTACTTCGGCGTGAGGTGCGGCCGGAGCGCCGCGAAGCTCGAGCCGAGGTGCGCCTTCAAGCGAAAGGGAAGCCGTCGGGCCTGTGAAACAAAGGAGGACGCCGCGGCGCTCGAGCCGAGGCGCGCGCCCACTGCGCGAGGGCGAAGATAGCCCTCGCCATGCGCGGCAGCTTGAGGCAGAGCGTGTGGAGGAAGATCTCGAACCAGATCTCGGAGTGGCGGTGGATGGCCTGCGGTCAGAGGGGCAGCCAGGGCGGCGGTTAGGGCGGCAGCTAGGGCGGCAGCTAGGGCGGCAGTTAGGGCGGCAGTCAGGTATGGGGAGGTGTGGGGAGATATGGGGAGGTATGGGGAGGTGTGGGGAGGTATGGGGAGATATGGGGAGATATGGGGAGTGTGTGGGGAGGTGTGGGGGGTTTGGGGAGGGGGGAGGAAAAGGAGATTATGGGCAGATTGCTGTGAGATTACGGGGAGATGTTCGCAAGGTAGGGGAGATTGTGGGGAGATTGCGGTGAGACTGTGGGGAGATGTGGGGAGATGGCGGCCTGCATCGCCGCGAGGCCGAGCAGCAGGTGCAGCGGTGCGAAGAGGAGTGTGAGGGCCAGCGAGAAGGAGCGCGGCCAGCACCAGATGTAGGTCGGAGACCGCTGAACCTACGCTCGCGCGTCTCTCGGCGCGTGATCTCCCGCGCAATCTCCCGCGCAATCTCCCGTGATCTCGCGCGTAATCTCGCGCGCAATCCGGCGCGTGAGATCTCCCGCGCAATCTCGCGCAATCTCGTGCAATCTCGCGTACTCTCGCGCCATGACCAGCTTGCGGCACTGCTTGGCGAGGGAAGGGACGATCGAGATGGCCGTCGCCCCCGACCCGACCACGACCACCTCGGGGGAGATTACGGGGAGATTACGGGGAGATCTGGGGAGATCTGGGGAGATACCCCCATACGACCCCACAACCACTTACTGATCCGCAAGGGGCGTGCAACCAACGAAAGATGCAACCAACGAAGGACTCGCCGGCCGCCGCCCGCGACCCGCCCGCGACTACCGACGGCCATCTCCGCATCTTTCTCCCCATCTTTCTCCCCATCTTTCGCCCCACATCTCTCCCCACATCTCTCCCCACATCTCTCCCCACATCTCCCCACATCTCTCCCCACACCTCTCCCCGATCTCTCTCCCCACATCTCCCCAAATCTCTCTCCCCACATCTCCCCAAATCTCTCTCCCCATCTCTCTACAGCGCCCGCCGTCTTGTCTCTCAGGTCGCCGGCCTGCCAGAACTGCGGGTGGAGGATGCGACCCCCGGCGGCCTATCATGCGCGCTGCTGCGTACGAAGAGCGCCATCTCACTGCGGCGCAGGCAGCTCCTCTCGCGCGGCCTCAAAGTCCTCACGGCCGGGGAAGCGGGCCAGCTCTTCTACGCCCGCCCGCTCATACTCGTAGTAGCCGGTGCAGGCAATCACGAAGCTCGCCTGTGGAGAGGGGGGAGAGGGAGAGGGAGAGAGAGCTCGGGCTTGAGTTGGGGTGGGTGGTCGTGCCTGTGCAGGCAGCCGCAGCGCTCGCCTCGACGCGCTCGCGCCGCGCGCCGTTCTCGACGTCGACGTCGAGGGCCCAGACGCGCGCCGTCGAGTCCCACGACATGGAGGTGACCTTGCGGTGGTACAGGATCCGCCTGTCGAGCCGGTTCTCCTCCGCCACCTGCCGCATGTACTCGAGGATCTCGCGGCCCTCGGCGAGGTGCGTGTATGGCTTGTACGGCTTGAAGCCAAAGCCGAAGCAGATCATCGGCGAGTCGGAGCGGATGCCCGGGTACTTGAACTGGTCCCACGTCCCGCCGAGCGACGCGCGGCCCTCGAGGATGGCGTACGAATGGTCGGGGCACTCGGTCTGCAGCCGGTACGCGGCGCCGAGGCCGCTCAGCCCGGCACCGATGATCACGACGTCGAGACGCTTGGATGGGATGGGGTACGGGTTCTCGGCCATGGTCTGTGGTGGCGCAGAGACCGCGGTTCGGGCGCAGAGGAGGCGGGGCGGTGGACGGTGAGCGGCGCACGGACCGGGATAGGATGGTGGCAGCCGCAGGGCGCGCCACACAACCTGCGGAAGCTCGAGGTGGCCCGGGCGCCTCAGTGGATTGACGCAGCGAGCGATCTGTGGTGATCGGCATCGTTTTTTCTTTTTTCGCCCCTGCCCCTGCTTTGCGATTGGTTTTCTGGTCCGCGTTCGTTTTTCGTCGACGCCGCCATGGCTGCCGAGACGGCGCCGCCATGATGGACGACTGAGGACGCGCGGTTTTCTTTTTGACGCTCTCTTCCTCGAGGGCGAGTTAGGGCTAGCAGTAGGCGGCTAGCCTGTGAGGAGAGCGTCCATAGACACCTCACATGACCCCACACACGGTCTCGTCCATGCCTTGCGGCTGGCGGCGAGATTGCTAGAGGCAGAGCAAGCCTGCTCTAGTCTCACATGTTACTTCCTGTTGTCTGTTGTTTGTTGTGCCCTTCGATCGGTCACACCGCCATCGCCGTCGGGGAGAGGGGGGACGACACTGCTTCGGCAGCGTGCACCTCGATCCTGTACCGTGTTTGTTATGACCCCCCCCAATGAACACACCAGTGAGGGAGGGCGAGACGATCGAGGGGTCCCGTACCATGCGGAACCGACCCTATCCAGTGCTCAAGTGCTCAACACGGGCCCTTGGAGCGGGGCTTGGAGCACTTGGAGTACTTGGCTGCTTTTACTTTCCCTAAAAGCTCCGCATGTCTCCCGGGACGGCCGCTATGCACACATCGCAGGTTCGTGCAGTGATGTCGCTGGCGCTCGCCGTCTGCGTACACGCGACGTCCTCAAAGTGCAAGCCATTCTGTGAGGACAAGACGCACGATTGGGATGACAAGTGCACCTGGGGGGGCTGCTCCGGCTGCACCGAGTGCTCTGCGCCGGTGTGCAAGCCGTTTTGTGTGGACAAGACGCATGCCTGGGATAACAAGTGCACCTGGGTGGGCTGCAACGGCTGCACCGAGTGCATCGTCCCTGAGCCGGAATGCAAGCCGTTTTGTGAGGACAAGACGCAGGGCTGGGATGACAAGTGCACCTGGGGGGGCTGCAACGGCTGCACCGAGTGCTCTTCCCCTCCGCCAATGTGCAAGCCGTTTTGTGATGACAAGACGCAGGACTGGGATGACAAGTGCACCTGGGGGGGCTGCAACGGCTGCTCCGAGTGCCTGACCTCGCCGCCGTCGGCGCCGCCCCCCACACCGCCGCCTCCGACGCCACCACCGCCGTCGCCCCCAGCGGTGTGCAAGCCGTTTTGTGAGGACAAGACGCAGGGCTGGGATGACAAGTGCACCTGGGGGGGCTGCAACGGCTGCACCGAGTGCTCTTCCCCTCCGCCAATGTGCAAGCCGTTTTGTGAGGACAAGACGCAGGGCTGGGATAACAAGTGCACCTGGGGGGGCTGCAACGGCTGCTCCGAGTGCGGCGCCTAGCCCTCGCCGCCGCCGCCAGCTTCGGCTGGCTGGCACAGGTGAGTAATGAGTAGGCGGAACCGCAGTGTGCCGAGTTAGAGACTGCTGTGTAACCTGTATATTTCAGTGAGGAGGTGACAGGTGACACAGGTGAATTGTGGTTTGTGGATTGTGCGTGTGGCGCACTGCACACACAATCACAAATCACACGCTCAGCAAAACCCAGGCCAAATTACTTTCTTTTAACAACGCCAATTTGGGCGCACATGCTTCACAGATCACACACCTGTGACACTAAGGATGCCTTCCCTCCCTTTGCCGGCGCCTTCTTGGGTCGGGCCCTGCGGGGCCCTCACCCAGAAGAGCTTCACCTTGTCGGCGCCGTAGCCGTTGCGCATCGGGGAGTCGACGAGCTCGACCGTGAGCCCCGCCTTGCGCATCGCGTCCTGCAGGAGGGACCAGACGGGCGACGTCGACGACGGGGTTAGTGCACTGTCAGACCCGCCAGGACCCCGCTGCAGTGAGGCCAGGCCGCAGGGCGGGGCGCTCCCATCACCCTCCTACGGCTAGAGGCGGGGAGCCTTCTCTCTCGGCTCGTCTAGTCGCGTCCTGCAGGCTGGCGAGCTCATTCGGCCGCCGCTCGCTCGCCGAGAGCAGGCACGGCACCCTCGCCGCCTCGATGGTCTCAAAGAGCACCGGCCACGCGTCGCGATTGTACCTACAAGGGCGAGCGGCGGCGGAGTGGGCGGCGGCGGCGTGGGCGGTGGCGGCGGCGGCGTGGGCGGCGGCGGAGGTGGTTGCTCTGGCGATAGGAGGTGGTTGCTCTGGCGAGGGCGGCGGCGGCGAGGGCGGCGGCGGCGTGGGCGGCGGTGGCGTGGGCGGCGGCGGCGTGGGCGGCGGTGGCGTGGGCGACGGCGGCGAGAGTGGCGGCGGCGAGAGCGGCGGCGAGGGCGGCGGCGCACGTGACGTCAGCGCCGATGACGACGTCCCACGATTGCGCGAGGGGGCTGTCGGCCGCTTCGGGCCCCGGCCTTCCCCAGGAGAGCGGCGCCGCCGAGACCGCCCCGCCGACGCCGTTCGCCTGCGCGTTCTGCGCCGCCAGCGCAAGCACCTTTCCGTCGCGGTCTGTCGCGAGCACGCGCGCCGCCCCCAGCTTTGCTGCTGTCACCGATCCCAAGCCTGTGCCGGTGCCTAGCTCAAGGACGCGCTTGCCCTCCCAGAACGCGCTGCCGAGCTCCTCCATGTAACGGCTCAGCACGATGCCGCCGCCCCAGACCGCGCTGCCTACACCGAGAGAAGAGGCGCGCGCTGTGCAATACCATCGAGAGGGCCGCCGGCGCCCGGGTGACGGAGGGTGGCGCCGGTCGACGCCTCCCACATGTTTGCCTTGGTCATTGTCTGCCGGATGAGCAGCGGCGGCGCGCCCGGCCGCCAGAAGACGCGGCGAGGCAGCAGCGAGCAGTCGTTCCAGTCGTTGACCTCGTTGAACTCGGGGTAGAGAGCCTCGGTGCACGACGGCGACACGGCCTTGAGCGGCTCGTACAGCGGCTGCAGCAGCCGCACCGCCGCAACCGCCGCCGGCGGCACCTCGTCGACTCCGAGCAAGTCGGCGAGCTCGTCGCCGGTGTTGTCGAGGACGCCGAACAGGCCGTTGGCCACCACGACTCCGCCGGCGGCGGCGGCGAGCGCGGCGGCGCCCACTCGCCGCAGCGGACTGCCGCCGCCGGCGGCCGACATCGCCGGAGAGGAGCAGCGGGGACGCACGCTTCGGCGCGCCTCGGCCGCCGACCGCTTGACGGCGCCAGCGTCCCCTGCCGACAGCAACATGCACGGCCCCGGGCAGTCGGGTCCTTCGCAGACCACGACTCGGCCAGGCGGGCATGCGCCGCTGCAGCCGACGCCTCGGACAGCCATCTGGGGCGGAGGCGAGAGCGAGAGCGCCGTCAGCAGCGCTGCCGCGCCGTGGGAGGAGCAGCGGCGACCCGTACAGACGGTGAGCATCGAAGGGGTGTATCGCTTCGAGCCGGGCCGCGCCGCCTCCTCTCGGGCCACCGCAAGAAGAATTCTTAAGACACATGCCTCTCTCACAGCACACTGGCACGACAAGGGCGCGGACTGGCGCGGACTGGCACACACACAGGCTCACCACCGGAGCCGCCTAAGCGACTCCGTTAAGAACGGCAATGCACTCCGCACCATGCACAATGCCGCTCTCCCCGCACGCTAGCTCGTTCACCGTCTGCCACGCCACGGCGGTGTGGAGGACGACAGACAAGCGCTGCATCTGCAGCCCGTGCCAGTTCTTGGTGGTCCATGTGACCTCGTCCAGGTGCTGAGCGTGCGAAAGTTTGTTGCTCAGCTGGTTCGCCGCCTCCCTCAGGGTGCTGCGAACCTCCTTTCCAAAGCCTCCGAAAGCCTCAAAATCAAACAAACGTAGATCGCAATCCTGCTGCCGCGCAAAGGGGAAATCTACGACATAAGCACCTCTCACAGCAGACTGGCACGAACTAGCACCACAAAAGGCACAGCAGACAACGGCCCCTTATGGGCCGTCGAAGAGGCCGTCATACTCCTCCGGCCTCGCCCCCCCTTCCCAACCCTCCCCTGGCTCAGGCTCCTCATCCTCGCGGCGCGCAGTGCGCACCCCGCCCCGCGAAGACGAACCCTTCCGCCGGCGTGCCTCGCGGGACTGCCGCCCGCTGCCGCCGCCCTTCCCCCCCTCCGCTGCCCTGCCACGAAAAAGGAGAAGCCGCGGGGGGGTGTCAAGTATCGTACCCTAGATTTTCCTTTTTGTTTGCCGGAAAACCTCGTACAGACCTACAGACCAAGCAGTGTTCGACCGGGCTAGCTTCTGCTCACTCAGCTGGACCTGTATCCTGTTTTACTACCCAGACGTCGAGACATCCTGGTGCCCCCCGCTTTTTTATGCTCGACAGCGGTTAAGAAAGAAAGAAAGAAAACAGACAAGCAAGGGAGGGATGGGAGGACGGCACGCCGCCACCGCACAGCAAGCAATATCTCTCCCCACACACACACAGGGATTTTAAGGAGAGGAGTGTGGTCCACCCTTGGGCGTCTGCACCTCTCCTATCTCTCTTCGCAGTCCCTCGCCGATTCTTCGTCCCGCTCAGTCCAGCAATTTCTTCAAAAAACGTAATGCCGAAAGCGCGGAGATCCTGTTTCGTGCATGTTGGCCACGAACAGAGATTGCAGGATTGCAGGTGCCTTTGCCATGGTTGCCTCTCGCCTCGCCCCTCGCCCGGCGCGACGCAGCGCGAGATGAGAGCTGCCCCCGCGCGGGCCCTCTCGCCTCGCCCCACAATCACCACTGCAGCCCGGCTGCACGCCGTGCTGCGACCGCCGCGAATCTGGCACAATCGGATTGCCGGTCGGAGCGCTGCTGAGCGCACGGCCGCGGGTCGCCTTCATGCCTACTGCGCCCCCGCGACCCTCAAAACGAGCCTGCGCCATGCTCGTCCCATTTTATGCTGCTGACGCTCGCTTGCCGCCTCCTGCGCCCTCGCAGATCCAAAACAACGTGGGCGAGGCGGGCGTGCCGCGGTGTCCTTGGTGCTGGGCCTCAAGCTGCGTGCGCTGCGAGTAGGTGTGCGGCCCTCTTGAGCCCCCCTTCCTCTCGATTCCCCCCCTCAAAGACGCTCTCAAAGCACTGGTGGCCCGGAACACGATGTGCAGCAATCAGAGCAGGAGATTAGCCGAGAATGGCCGAGATTGAGCCGAGATCTCGTCCATTAACATATTTGACAAAACTTTGACGAAATTTGTGGATATGCCCTGGGGATCATTGCGCCACAAATTGACTAAATTGACGAGATCACCCCGAGATTTCGTCAATTAGCTTACCCGAGATTACCCGCCGGGCCCCGAGATTACCCGAGATCGCTTCCGAGACCGGTATGACACTTCCGCACCTCTTTGTGGAGGCGCTCTATCGCTCGTTCTGATGCGCCACCCGAGATTGCCCGAGATTGTCATCAAGTTTCGTCAATTAGTTTAATTAAATTTGACCTAAATTTGGAGCGCCCGGGCGTGAATATCACACACCCGCCATCTTCCGCCCTCGATCATAGGTACGAGTGAAGTCGATCAACAACATGTCAGAGAACAAGACGGAAGTGAAGGCCCGCATCATGCCGGCCGAAGACGGCAGCATCAAGGTCGTCGTCTTCTCCGCGCCAAAGTCGCCTCCGCTCCTCGGAGCCAAGGCGGTGCGTGTGCGTTTGTCGCAGATCTCCAATCTCCTCCTACCAATCTCCCTGGCCGACAGGCGAGCGGCGCCAAGAACGCACCTGTTGAGGACGTCACCGTGGCCGACGTCACCAAGAACGCACTCGGTGGCTAGTTCCATTTCACTGTGGCACAGCTCGCGTTCAAAACCTTGATTTTGACCATTGCGCGAAAAAGGTACATCTCGGTGCCTTCCAGAGGCAGCTGCGACCCCACTGAGTAGACGGCGGCACACAGCAGGTGGCGCGGTGTGCCGCCGTCCACTCGGCGGGGTCGCAGCTGCCTCTGCGCGTCCTGGGTATGTACCTTTGTCGCGCGCCGGAGACGACTCGACGCCGCTGAGATCGGAGATCAAGCTCTGACAGGTCGCACGTCGCTCCTTTGACGCCGACGTGACTCACCCGTGCAGAGCACATCAGGACACGGTCTCGACACGCTCGGTACGACGCCTGCGACCCGTCTTGGGTCAGGTGGCACGACGCTCATCGCGCCTACCAGCGCTGCCGTGCAGGTTGCCACGACGAGGTCGAGCACGCTTCTATACGCTCTCCCAGCCTTCCTTTCCATCCCATTAGGCAGCCTGGGAACGGTGGCGGTCAGAGGCAAAGCCTGCGAGGGGTGGTGGAACCACATGTCACGGCTACCGCCGGCTCGACCCCACGATAGCCTCCGGAGGCTGACTTTGAGGCACAATCATTGGACGACGTCGGCGAGTTGAGTCGCGCTCGCGGTAGCCAGATGACCTCTCATACTAGTATCATCGGCCATGGCCGCAAGAAGCGCGGGGGATTCCGCTGGGAGCAACACGGAGCTCCGTTGGACGCGTTTTCAAGATTAGCGTGTCAGAGTGAATTGGAACTAGCCCGTCGTCACCTTCAGCTTGATTCAAGCGACGGCGACGAGGGAGGAGGGTGGAGGGGCGAGGGCTGCCAGTGGAGGGCCTCCTTCCTGTATGACCATCGACCCGGCGCGCTGGGAGTGGATGTGCGTGGCTGAAACAATGCGTGGCGATGGACATTGACCGATATGCAATACTTGTTCCAACCGCCTTTCCTCCCTTTCCGCATTGTGAGTGGATCCGCCTACTGCCACGCCTCCACGAGCAGCTCCGACGGCAGGAGCTGCGTCACGGACGGCGGCGGCTCATATGGCAACAACGAGGCCTGCGGCACGCGGTACCAGGGAACGAACGGCCTGAGCAACGTGCCCGTTCACCAGGTTCACGTGGCGTTCGGACGGATCTGTGACTTATCGAGGCTGGACGGTCTGCCTCGAGCCCTTTATTCCACCGCGGATCTACACCGATCTGTCGCAGCTGAGCTGCGATTTTGAGGTCGACACTTGCGCCTCATGCTGTGACACAGCTGAAGCGCATTTAGGCGGCCAGTCTTCTTACTCACGGCTACCACGACGACCTTGGCGAGGAGGTGTTTGCATGCCACGTCTCGATGTTACGCCCCCCATCCTCACGCCCCATCCTCACCGACGCTCGGCGTCCATTGGGCCGCGTGATTTGCAGGCTTTCCTCAAGGGCGCCGAGACACTCGCTAAGGAGGGCCCTTCGGACGCGGGCCAAGCGGCTGTGGAGGCGTACAACGCACTCGTGCGCTCTGGCACCTCAATGTTGATGCAGCCTCCGCTCCAGAGCCGGTGGTGTCTGAGCGGACACGAGCGGGCTCGACGGCAGCGCGCGTGGGAGGAGGCAGCGCGCGCGGCTAGGGCCGTCAGGGAGGGACCGTCTGGAGGCGAGGACCTCACCTCGAGGCTAGACGCGCTGCTCCAGGCTGTGGAGGCGGGAGGGAACGAGCGTTCAAGTCGTGACGTGCGCGAACAGGGCGTGCAAACCGACATTGAGGAAGCGGCGGCTTCGTGCGCGGAACAGGGCAACACGGGACTGCAAGAGGGCGCGGGTTGGGCTGGCGGCACAAAAGAGACCAGCGTGCTTGGTACCTCATTCCTTGATCGGCTCGACGATAGAGCAGAACCTGGCGACGATGCTCAGAGCCTCCACGCTCAAACTCGGCCGATCCACCCTTGGTTGGACTTGGGCTGGAGCCGAGTGATTGGGGAGGACATCTGCTCGCCTCCGCAGAAGGACGATTCGGATTCGGATTCGGAGGCTCGTGGCGAGGTGTGTGAGGGACGTGCTGGCGAGTGGGAGGCTGGCGAAGACACTATGGGCGGTCAGGCTCAAGCGCTAAGGGAGCGCGACTGGCAGGCCGACGTGGACGATTCACGCTCGCGCAACAGCCAGGCCGACTCTGACTGGTCAGTTGGTCGCGATTTTGACCCTCTTCTGGAGACACGGCTAAGCCAGCGCCGGACGGTGGAGTGGAGTGAGGAGCGGTTGGATACTCAGCACGAGGTCCCGGTGGCGGGTCCGAGGGCTCGGCGCGCCGGGGGGCGGCGGGGCGATTAGCAGCAACTCATCCGTGTGTGTTATATCGGCAGCTCGGTGAGTCCACAACTTGCCACAACACGTGCGCATGGAACCGCGCGGGATGTGGAGAGGAGCGGGACCGCGCGCGGCGTGCTCTTGGCGTTCTGGTTCTCTCACGATATGTGAATGAGAATGTGTGAAGCAAGACGGCGCTCGCGCGCGCGCCGCGCGTGTGTCCCGTGCGTTCACTTGTTCGCCGTCGTTCCTTGATTGTAGAGTCCCCCATAAAAAAACTATACGCTTCGAGGCCGGCACAGACGGTGCCGTGCTTTTGCGAGCAGCCTCAGAATGAACCGCGACGGGCGCTATGAGCCAAGAGCGTCCGCGAGCAGCTCTCTCGCTGCAGCCCACGAAGCGGCGTCGGCGCGCGCGTCGTAGCTAAAGGCGGGGTTCTCGTTGAGCGCCTGCGCCGGATTGGTGAACGAGTGCCTAGAGTTCACAGCGCCTCAGCGTGAAGAGGCGCCGTTCACAGCACGTCGGTGCGACTACGGGGGCGGTGAAGTTCGCTGCCTGGCGCCGCCGGCAGCGCCAAATGCCTGCAGCTCCCAGCGGCAGCCCCGCTCGCCGAGGGCCGCCAAGCAAGCGTCGACGCCGTCGCGCGGCACAAACGGGTCGGCCTCGGCGTGGCAGAGAAGGGCCCGTGCCGTGATCGGCGGCGCAGCCACTGCCTCTGCCCCCGCCGAGCCTTCCGAGCCTCCCGTAGCGGTCAAGTCATGCGGCACGTAGCCGTCGACCACGCCGTGAAAGGAGACGACGGCGCGGAGGCCCGGCGGCGCCGGCGTGCACGCCTTAAAGGTAAGGTAAACCTCTCCGCACACACGAGGTGGTGGGGCAAGGGGGCAGCCCCTCGCAACTCCACGTCTAGACGACAGGAGCCCCACGGTATTGAAAGCGCAAGGCCCGGTGTGTCTGTGTGTGTGTGTGTGTGTGTGTGTGTGTGTGTGTGTGTGTGTGTGTGTGTGTGTGTGTGTGTGTGTGTGTGTGTGTGTGTGTGCGCGCGCGCGCCTTGAGCACATCCATGACCGCCCGGCCGCCGAAGCACCACCCTGAGTGCACCGCGCACACATGCTGAACACGCCAGCCTCGGGGGCGGGAAGGCGGTCTCGTGCAGACTAGTCAGAGCACCGCGTGAGTACGAGGGGGACTACGGCCGAGTGCAGTCGGAGATGTGTCCTCTACAGCGCTGGGTGGAGCACAAGAAGGCGTATCCTCCCTCTATCAGCTCCCACCGACGAGCGCTAGGCGCGACGCGTCGACCTGACAACGGCAATCGCCGTGAACGGCGCCTCTTCACACCGCCCGGGCGGCGCGACGCGTCGAGGCGTCCACCAGCGGCGACTCGGCCAGCTGCTGCAGCGCCTCGCGCGTGCGCCTGATCTCCGGGTGATCTCGGGGTAATCTCCGGTGATCTCGGGGTAATCTCCGGGCCATCTCGAGCCAGCTGCGGCAGCGCTCTCGCGTGCGCCTCTGCAGCAGCGGCCGCCCTTCGCCCGTGTACACCTCCCGGCGAGGCCCGCACCAGGCGGGCTCCCAGCCATCGCCGTGCGGGTCGCCCAGCAGATCGGCGATCAGGACGACGTAGCCGCGCGTTGCGAGCGCGTGCGCGCGCCAGCGAAGGTACAGGTCCTGGGTGCAAGAGTCACTCTCATGGACGTAGTAGTAGTGAACGAATGAGTTCACGAATGAGCGAGCTTCCTGCGGGCCGACGGCGGTGTGCACTAAGCACACGCCCGGCCGTGGAGATCCTTCACGCAGGCCGCCGCCGGTGCAGTAGGCGAGTGAGCCGTGCATCACGAGCCCATCGGTCGTCGTGCGGACGAACGGCTCCGCGCAAAGCGTGCCGCCAAAGACTCCAATCTCGGGATCTGAGCCCCATGCCTGAGCCAGGATGTGTGCCTGGTCAGCTGACGCAGCGGTTCTCGCATCGTCGTCGAGCGCCCAGCGCACGGCTGGCTCTGCGGCTCCGCTCATGGTAAGGCGTCGTGCGGCGCGAGAGCGCACGCGGGCCACCAGAGAGGCGCAGGCAAACGTCGCACCAGTCGCGAGCAGGAGGGTGAGCGTGCGGTCAGACATATACACGGACAGTCGTGTTTTTCGATTCGTTCACAGCTTGTTAGGTTCGAGGTTGGAGGGGGCTCGCCCCGTTCCTCCCCATCGGGCCGCGTGAGCGGCCACGCCTCGCAGGTTCGTTTCTCGCGCCTGGGTCAGGCGCGCGGGGCATCCCCCGGGTCGCTCAGCGAGGGGGGGGGGAGGGGAGGGAGTCGGAGGATGATGGGGATGGTCCTCTCGGCGAGCACTACGGTGCTCGTGGATTCGACCATCCGCCTGACTACCATTCCGACGACGCCTTCTGTGAGGAGGCCGGCATCTGTGAGGGCGACGGCTTCTAAGCCGTCGCCTTTGCAGTGCCAGTCCCGTACCCGGTGTCGTGCGAGGGAGTTTTGTTGTAAAATTCTTTTAGTGTGTGTGTGTGTCTTTTAGCACGTGTGTTGTGGCGCGACAGTCCTTATACCTAGTGTCGTGCGTCGTGCGAGGGAGTTTAGTTGTAAAATTCTTATTAAGGTCCCCCATGCCAGAGAGTTTCGGGGGGCAAACCCTGCCCACCCCCTAGAGCCCCAGGTAAGGCCCAGGTGTGGCCTAGGGCATCAGAAGGGACCAAGAGGAGTCCAGTCTGAGCCATAGAGCCCATGTCTTTACCCCAGAAGGTCGCGTTCAAATGCCCGGAACGGACGTTACAGTGGTGTCCGGCCGGGGGCCGGCGCGATCACCGAGCTGTGACGCTCAGGGAAGCCCGATGAGGTGCTGGTTTCTTTGGCCAGGGCTGGCCTTCCCCCCAGCCCAGGCTGGATCAGCTGAGCAAGGTTTGGGGAGAATCCTATATTGGGATCTTCAGATATTTTGACGGATGACCGAAAATGTGGGCAAAAACGGGGTGATTTTGGTCTTGGGGGCAGCCTGCCGGACCGCTGAGTTGCACAGGGCGAAGCACCAGAAAATGAAAGTAGTTGATGGATTGGGCTGCCGACCGTGCCTCCCCTCTATGCGTCAGAGTGGGACCTACTCGTTGAACTTTGTGCCCGGCGCGGCATATCAGCTTTCCGGGCACAAAGTTCAACGAGTCAGCATCTGTGAGTTCAGCAGAGCCCCCTGCGTGGGCCCCAGTCGACTCTACAGAAGTATCGCCCTGCGGCCAATTCCGAGGTCTCAAGTGCTCCATCCATGTCGGCTATGTCGGGCGGCCCCCCTGGCGCGCCGCCGCCCTGCGACCGCACTACTGCAAGCGCTGCAAGCAGACCGCCCAGATTGCTCTTGCTGTTGATCACGATGGACCTCGCGCGGGACAGCGACCACAGGGTGGCGAACAGGAAAGCGCCAGGTTCACGCTGGGCCCACCCCCCATCCTCCGTGGGTGGTGCTGGCAGGAAAGCGTCGGGGTCGACGACTGCCATCAGCAGCCTCCTGCTGCTGGCCGCATCCACGCTGGTGTACACAGGGAATGCCATCTCTGTAGAATCGAGGACGGCCGCGCGACGAAGATCGAGAAGCTCCGCCAATTCGGTGACATTGAACGGTGGCTCAGCGAGCACGGCGACGCGCTGCAGCCCGCGGGCCGAGGCAGTGGTATTGACGAGCGCGGCGATCTCGAGCGGCGAGAGCAGCGTGATCGCCTCCTGCGCGAGCCTCTCCTTAAGCTTGTCCCCCCTCCGCACGTGCACCGCGAGCTCTGCGCCGCCGCCGCTACCGAAGGAGCGGGCGAGAGCGGCGTCGAGCTCGTCTATGCGCGCACCGAGCCAACCGTTGGGAGAGTAGAGTGCCTCGAAAAACACTCCTGTCACGGCGTACCGCGAGCTGTTGTGAATCAGCCGCCGCATCGCCGCGGTTCGTGCCGCCAACGCCATTGCCTTGTCCTCCGCCGCGACATCTGCAGGGCAGTGTTCACGGTAGTAATCGCGGAAGAGACATCTGTGCGTCTTTGACGGGCAACGCGTCCCATCGACGATCTCGCCGTGTGATGACCACGTAAGTCGAAGCCTCTCGAGCTCAAGCGAGGGCCAACCCAGGTTTTCTGCCCTCAGATTGAGCTGCATGATCCGATAGAGGAAATTATTTAGTTGTGCGCCAAGGCCGAAGTGGTGCTCAAATCTCATCGTGCTCAAAAATGGCGGTGTCGAGTTCGTTACGTCACCACGACACAGCACTTGGCTGACATCCTCTCGAATTCGCGTGATGTTGTATAGCCCTCCCGACATAGCAGTTGCAAAGGTTGCGTTGAACCGTACCTCAGTGGTCGGGTGTCGCTTCAGCGCGAGCGAAGCGGCAGAGTGATGATGTTGTCGACTCGGAGGAGCAGCGGTAGCAGCCTTCCTCGCCCACGCTGTAGATACGGCCAAAGTGAGCAGGAGCAGCAGCCCCGATCGCATACCGGGTGTGCTCGTTCTGCAAAATCGGGAAGTTTTGTCAATTACAAGTAAATAAACCACGACCAAAGAGCGCAAAAAGCGAGACCAGATCCTAGCGAAACGGACCTGCCCCTAACCTTCGGCATGTAGTAGTCCGTGGTCAGCGCCCGCCCCCTCCCCTCTCTCTCGTCCCTACTCGAACCGCTCCGTCCGGAGGCGCCCGCGGCATCCCGCCGCCCATCTTCGGGTGCGCGTTGTTGTCGAAGATGGCCGCGTTGCGCCTCGCAATGATGGCCGAGTGCACTTGCAGGAAGCGCTTGCGTTCACCGCTGACCCGCCATCGCTCGCTGTCGGATCACTCCCCTTCTCGCCGGCCGGCCGGGGGGCGCGCGCGGGGGCGGCGGGTGTGCGGGATGGCTGTGGGCCCGAGATGTGTCATGTGTGTGTCTGCCTTGTGTTTTTTTGTTTCATAACATCGAAGGCTACCTCATAACATCGAAGGCTGGCTCAAAAAAAATAACATTCGAAGGCTAAGCTCAAAAAAAATCGGTGTGCGGCGGGTGTGCGGGATGTCTGTGGGACAGAGAGAGCGATGTGCTTGTGTCCGCCTTGCGTTTGTTTTCATAACATCGAAGGCTAGCATAAAAAAAATCGGTGCGCAAAGGACGGCAGCGAGAGCGCCGCAGCGATAGTTTTTGCCGCTTGTTCAGCTCAGCATGGAAGCCACCTGTGTCTGCTACTGATACACACGCCCTAGTGCAGAGCAGTTGTGCTTCTTCAGAAGAAATGGATATTTAATCATGCCTTCCTATTTCTCAGAGCATGATGCATGAGGTCGAGGAGATGGTGCATGCTCTTGAAAAAGTACAGCGCGAAGACGTCATTGGGCCGTTGACATCGCAGAACCCACACGCCTAATGTTTGATGGCGAGGCGAGTGCTCAAAACATGAAGGTGATCGAGCCTGTTCTCGACTTGTCGCCAACGTTCCGTGGCACGGCCAGCGGCTCAAAAGTGCAATCCATCTTCCGCAATTTGTTCGATGGTGACCGCCCCTTGCTATTCGAGGACAGAATTCAGATGAAGCTGCCGTCGTCTGGAAGCAAGCAGAGTCTGAGCATGCCAGGCGCATTCCCTTGGCATCAGGATTTCTGTTATTGGTCATCTTATTCTCGGAGCCTCATCTCGTTGTTCGTTTACCTGGACCAATCAACTGAGGAAAACGGTTGTGTGCAATTGCTTGCATACTCTCCAGAAGCGGGCTTGCTACCTCATGTAGCCTCGGGCGACGACACTTTCCCGCTCAAACTCGAAGGCGATGCTCTGGCTGATCTTTTGTCCAAACACTCACCTGTACTGACCACTGGATCTGCTGGTACAGTTGTTGTGTTCAGCGCGTTCACGCCCCATGCAAGTTTCAACAACATTTCCAGAAGGCCGCGACGAAGTTTCTTCTTGGTCTGCAATTCAGCCGCTGATGGCGACGGCTATTACAAGGCCAGCGAACAAGAACCAGTTTATCCCATCGGTAGTCATAATCTGGGGCGCGTCCCGCAGGACAAAATTGACTGTTGGAGCGCATGGATGTCGAGCGGTTGCACGAAAGCTGGTACTGGGGGAGCAGCTCTTACATCATCCACTTCCATTTCTTGGTGACGTTTTGACACTTGTTCATTTTCCACCTCGGGTTGTGTTTTCATTCATGTCTTTGGAGCCTCTGCGAAAGTCTGAGAGCGCGTGAGGAGACATGGCGACTCCATAACCATAAAAAGGAACTCTCCCCGCGTGCGAGGAGACAGGGGAGGCGTCGGCGAGCGAAGCCCCTGTCCAAGCTCAAGAGACACTACCCGCAGCGATTTAGAGGGGAAAGTTGGCTCAGTTGTGGCTGTGATGAGATCATTGTTTGATTAAATAAATAATAAATAAAAACGGACACCTCTCTACTGTGAGATGGGTAAAAAGGAACAGGTCCCCGCCCTTGCGATCTTTGTGCAGGGTTCTTTGTGGGTGTGGTCGGCGACTAGCCGGGGTCGTCCTCGTCTCGATGGGGGACTAGCACTAGCCGTCTTCCACATGGTCCCTCGGGTCCCTGCTGCTCCTAATCTATTGTTTGTGATTGAAAAACTCAATGATTAGTAGACCGGTACTCGGTTTGGATGGTAGCGGGGGGCCCCGCCGGAGGCTGGGTACTGATTTTTAGGCTCCGGCCATTCGAGATCTGGCAACGCTGCACCTAGGATCGCTACGATTGGCCCCCGACGCTACAGTCACCGCTGCACCTTTTCTCGGTCTCGCCCCTCCGGCCTCTGCTACTCCTCCCCTTCCTCGTCGCCGTCGGCCGCAGCCGCCGAGGACACCGACGGCGGCGGCAGCTCGCTCAGCCGGAACGAGGCGGACGGCGCGAGACGCCCTCCCTCGCCCAACGCAAAGCAGAGGAGCTCGAGTTCGCACAGCGCGAACAGCCGCCCCTGCACCGGCGACTGCAGCGCGAGCGGCGGGCTGCGCAGCTCGAGGGCCTATCAGTATCAATCGACAGCGACCCTTCATTCATTAAACGAATCGCGGCGGGCTGGACAGCCCGAGCGCCAGCCCGGGCCGCGGCCGGAGCTCCGCCTCCGCCGCCTAGTCTCGAACGAAGTGATCTCGACCGATCTCGAACGATCTCGACCGATCTCGCGCCAGCTCGCGCCTCTGCCCCCTCGAGCGCGTGCAGCGTCCTCTCGCTGTCGAAGCCGAGGTAGAGCAGCCGCGAGGCGGCCTGAGGGGCCGTTGACTGACTAATGAATGGACCGCCCGCCGACGCCAGCGAGGAGCAGCTGCGAGGAGCGCCAGCTCACACGCGCAGCGCAGCACCGCCCCTTCGCCGCACGCGCTGCCCTCCGCCGCCTCCGAGCCCGCGGACGCGGACGCGGCGACGGGTGAAGGAGCGGGTGGGGGAGCGGGTGGGGGAGCGTCGCCGGCGTCGGGGCCGAGCGGCGCAGCGTGGCGGAGCAGGCGAAGGAGCTCCGCGGCAGACCGCTTCCTGTTCAAGCGTTATGATTCTCCACTCAAGGGGACGGATGGGGAGTGAGCAGCCCCGCGCAGGGCCGCTTCCAGAGCCGCTCGGCGCCGTCGCACCGCCACAAGCAGACCTGCGGTTACGACAGGAGGTGAGGACGAGATCAGCACTCCTCACGGCCCCTTCTCGCCGCCACAAGCAGACCTCCGCGCCGCTGCCCGCCGCGGTGAGCAGCAGCGGCATCGCGGCGAGCGGCAGCACGACCTCGACGGGCGAGGTGTGCGTGAGGTAGTAGCGCTCGATGATGTCGGCGCTCGGCCACCTGCCAGCGACGAGTGTGAGCGGTTGTGGGTGATGCACCATCCCATATTAACTGGGACGTCTCGAATGAAGTCGGGCGCGCGGCCACCGGCTAGCGCGCACGTGCCCCTCCCGGTCCGCCGTCACCAGCTCGCCTGTCTCATTGACTAATTAATTCATCAATTACTCATTCATTCACCGGTCCGCCGTCACCAGCTCGCCTGTCTCATTGACTAATTAATTCATCAATTACTCATTAATTCACCGGTCCGCCGTCACCAGCTCGCCTGTCTCATTGACTAATTAATTCATCAATTACTCATTAATTCACCGGTCCGCCGTCACCAGCTCGCCTGTCTCATTGACTAATTAATTCATCAATTACTCATTAATTCACCGGTCCGCCGTCACCAGCTCGCCTGTATCATTGACTAATTAATTCATCAATTACTCATTAATTCACCGGTCCGCCGTCACCAGCTCGCCTGTCTCACTGACTCGGCTGCTCACGGACGGGTGAACTGGCTCTTCTCGGCCCGCACGGAGCAGCTCGCCGCCGCCGGGCGTGAAGGCGAGGTGCGAGACGGGGGAGAGGTGGCCGAGCTTGAGCAGCGGCGCCTGTGCACGTGCCGTGGCTGTGAAGAGACGCCCTTCAGCAGCGAGAGCCGGCCGAGCGAGCAGCGGCGCCGCAGACGGACAGCGCACGTCAAAGGCAAACACTTCTCCAAACTTGTCGGCCCAGAGGCCGAGGAGCGAGGTCTCGCCGCCCGCCGGGAGAGGCGCGAAGGCGACGCACCCAATCTTCTTGTGGTGCGTCCACGTGCCGATCGGCGCGGCCGCGGCGTCGGCAGTGACGTCCCAGGCTCGCACCGCCTTGTCGTCGCCGCCGGAGAGGAGCACGCCGCCGCACCGGCTGAAGCACACGCTGCGCACCACGCCGGTCGGGGTGAGCGCGCGCGGCGCCAGCGGCTCCTCGGCGGCAAAGAGCTGGAGCGAGTCCAGGTGAGCGACGCACACGAGCCCGCCCTGCGGGTCGACCGCCGCGACGACGGCGTCGCACTGCGCGGTGCGCCGCACCTTGGCGGCCGGAGCCTCGTGCGTCCGCACGAGCACCGAGCTGCCCACGCGGGAGGAGGCGGGGTGGACCATTTCTTGGGGCGTTCGTCGCTTGCTGCAACACACTGCCACGCGCCCGCGAGACGGTTCTGGGCGTGGAGGGCGGGGACAGGGGCGGGAGGGTGGGGATGAGGCAACACGGAGAGAGAGAGAGAGAGAGAGAGAGAGAGAGATGAGGATCACAGTGGACGTAATCACATGCTATTCGACTTGGCTAGGGCGGGGATTACTACTGCGGAGGGTGGGGAGGAGGCGAGGTGGACGACAATCAGGAGTCTACTTCTCAATCAAAGGTGTAGGGGCGAGGGCGCGACCCAGTGGTGAAAAGTGTGGCTACTCAGCAATGCTACAGACAATCGGGGCCTCTAGAGTAAACTGGAAACTGGACAAGTGCAAGTGCGGACAGGTTCACGACGTCAGACACTTCATCTTGGGGGAGGGTGGGTGTCAGTTATGCATGAGTCAGGAGGCGAGAAGGGCTTTTAGAGAAGGGTGCAGCGATCTCTCAACTAAGGTCCTGGGGCTAGACTTGGTGCCAGACGACGAGGCAGGGAGTTGTGGTCAGGACCTGGAGTGGGCGTCGGATATTCTCTTTGGGGACAAGTCGCACATGGTGACGAGAGACTCAGATGGGGACCGGATGTGGGTGCGGGCGGCCTCAACGGTGTTGCTGGGGTGCATGCTCCATCCAGGATTGAGTGCCCTGCAGCAAGGGGTGGATAACTTCAGACAGCGGAAGGCGGATGCTGACAAGTTTGGTCGAGAAGGAGGACGAGTTCACTGGACGCTAGAGAGGGCGAGCGCGGTGGGGAGCGAGGAACACAGAGAAGGAGAGGAGTCATCCGGGGAGGATCATGTAACTTATTCGGACCCCCCCTTCGCGCTTCTCGTTTTTCGTACCAACCCAGCGCCGATCTCGGCCGTCATTCTCCGCTCGCGCCGGCCGCCCATGCGCTCGCGGGGCCGCCCGACGGCGCGGGCCTCTTGCTGATGGACCCAGCCGAGGTGCCCGACCAGTCGGAGTGGCGCTGACGCGCCGCGCGCGACCACCAGCCAGCTTTCCGGCCGGGCCGAGAACGGTGCCTCGAGAATGTCGACACTCCAAACAGTTGTCGAGTTTTTCCCCTCTTTTTGAGCGCCGCTGCTGCACACCCAGCCCACCAGTGATACTAGACGCACCAGATTCACCCCGTCGCGAGCTTGACCGCGACCCCGATGACCGCCCACAGGTGGCTGATCGCGGCTCCACTCATCGCTGCTTTCGCGCGCCTGGCTCTCAGAGAGCCCCTGCGGCTCTCCCTCGTCGCGTGACCGCCGCCGACATCATCTGCTCGGTCGTGCCCGCCGGCGCGGAGCTGCGCCACGTCGAATTCTTCGGTGGCTCGACCGCCGGCGCGCCCACCCTCGCCTCCTGCGCGCCTCACACTCAGTTTTCACCTCGCGCGCGGCCGACAAAGTGAGCTCACGACCACCTCCCCCTCGCTCCTGTAGGCAGGCCGCCCCGCGCTGGCGGGAAGAGGCGCGCCGAGCCATCGGTGACGTCCTGGCGAGCTCATGTCCCCCCAAAAGGTCGCACCCGCCCGTGGCTCCGCCGTCGGCTCCGCCGCGAGCGGCGACGGTGAGGCCGCCGGGGCTCGCCTATACCGGCTAGTGTGGAGCTCTCAGTGTGGTTGCGTGTTGTACTAGTGATGCTGCACTAGGCGGCCCGTTTTTAGCAAAAACCAGATACCACATCGCGCGTGGTCATCGAAAAACCGCATGTTCGCCCGTCTGGGACCTCTTCGTACGGCTCCAAAAACCGCTCCTTAACGACGACTACGCGGCCCGGCGGTCGATCTGCGCCTTCTGAGCGGTGGAGGGGATGTGGGCGGTACGTGCGGACTGCGTGGTCATGCGGCGGTTTGACGAGTGCGACTCCCAGCGTCGACTCTGCGACCCCACGGAGCCTCTGCTGCTCCGGGGGGGGGGTCTGCAGACCACCCGGCCGAACTTCAGAGTGGCGGTGCTCCTCAAATACCGCTCAAACGCCCACGATGTTGTGGAGGGGACATATGCTGATGATCCTGGCCCGATTGGTTCGCTCAGAAAGCTTCTGGGCGGTCGTTAAGGTTCGCTCCCCGCACACCGGCCCCGGAATAAGTTACATCATATCTCTCCCCCTTTCCTCGCTGCCCCCCTCGCTGTCTTGTGTTGATGGACCCCCTCCCTCTCCCTCGCCAGCGTCACACCGTCACCATCCCCATCGCTACCGCCCTCCATCCCCGCCATCCTTTGTTTCACACTCGTCTCTGCCATGTCCGCCGTCGCCGCCGTCGTTTCTGTTGCGCTCTGTGCTCCTTGGTACAGTCGCTTATTGAGATTGTCGGTCCCGTGCCCGCCGAGTGGCTAAGATCGTAGATGCTACGACTGAGGTGTGTGTCGTCGACTCGTGGTTTCGTATCAAGAATACTCACTCACTCACACTCACATGCGCATCATCTGTCTCCTTGCCCTCTCGTTTAATGCGCGCATCTTCGTATCCTTTGATACAGAAAAGATAGCAGGGACGTATCGACAAGCACCAAACGTGACAGACACGACCACAGGGTCTGTGTCGCTGTCTGTCGGCACGCTGTCAACAGGACGTCGAGAGGGCGAGAGGCTTGACGTGATCCGACCCTGCGACCCTGGAGCCGAGCGGCGGGCGCGAGGAGAGTCTTAAAAGAGAGTCAGGCGGGGCCGATTCTCGCCGCCAGAGGCCCGAGCGGCGGCACGACCGCCGCGATCCACTTCCAGCCCCTCCACGGCGCCGACGCCGCCGGGGCGCCCGCCGCGTCCGGCGTGCCGCCCTCGCCCGCCGGGGCGGGATGATGTGGCGCCGCCTCCTGCTGCAGCTCGGCCTGTGTTCACAGCTGGAGGTGTGAAGAGAGCCCGTTCACAGGACCTCTCCCCTCCTGCTGCAGCTCGGCCAGGCGCTCGAGTGCGGCGCTCGCCCCCTCGTGGCCGGCGACGTTGGCGAGCGCGCGCTGGTACGCGTCCGCCGCGTGCGGGAGGCAGGAGCCTATACCATTGGCCAATCAATAGCCTCGAACCGACTCCTTCATTAGTTGCAGGTCCCGCCGCGTGCGGGAGGCAGGAGGGAGCCTCCGCTGCAGCGGCTCGCGGGCAGCCGCTCGAGGAGCTTCCCCGCCATCAGGTGCAGGTCGGACAGCACCTGCCGTCGGACAGGCAGAGAACTCATCGCAGAGAGTGAATCGTCGAAGTGAGTTGGTTCCTAGATCTATGTGTGCTGAGACTCAGCTACAGGCCGGCAGCGCCTGCCCCGGGTCTGCGGGCGCGGGAGCGTCGTCCGCGCGGATCACCAGGATGTCGATCGCGCGCTGGCACGCCTGCGTGGGACAGACGAGCGGCTCGTGCTGTGTGTCTTAGTGTGTGTGTGTGTGTGTGTGTGTGTGTGTGTGTGTGTGTGTGTGTGTCTGTGTCGCTCCAGTGGGACCCGTCCCTCCGTCTCGCTTTGCGCCCACCCCACACCGCCCAACGGCCAGGTCATCGACTACAGGCTGTTCTTTCTGGTCGCGGGCGGTCCTTCGCCTCTCCCTCTATCTAGAGACGAGTCGACGAGAGGAGAGGGGCGAGCTGGGCGGTGTCTCAGAGTCTCTTCTCTGCAGCATGGGCTGCGTCTGCTACGCTAAGAGTCGCCTCGAGCGCCGCCATGACGTCGCCGAGCCCCGCTTGAACCGCCGCAAGGTTGGCATGCGCCGGCCACAGGTTTGGGTTCCCGCGTATAGCGGCGTCAAAGTGGTCGATCGCCGCGAGGACCTCGCCTCGACTCTCGAGCACCGCACGCCCGGCCGCGTACTCGCTGTTCGGCGAGAGCCCGCTCCACAGGAGCCCGCCCGGGAGACGCCCGAGCAGAGCCGCGCCGCTGTACGCAGCAAATTGCCGCGCGCGAGACAGCTGCGCCACGGCCGTCGCTGGCTCGCCTTGCTCGAGCGCCAGCAGGCCGCTGCGCTCGAGGCGGGAGCCGCACAGCGAGAGAGCGGCCGGGAGAGACACGGCGACTAGCAGCGATGCGACAACATGGCGACGGAGAGCGGACGCAGGCGGCGAGGCTCTCCTCTTGGACTGCTTGTTGCTGCGCGGCTTGTTGGCCATCGTGGCGCCCGGGCGAGCTTTATATTTTTTTGCGGAGCGGTGAACGACCGGATGGGCGCGAATATAAAGACTTAAAAATAAAACAAAATAAAAGAAAGCCTTTTCCTTCTTTTTCTCGCGATGTCCACCCCTCCGCGCCGCCGCTCGCGCCGCCTCGCCACCGCCGCCGCCGCCACCACTCCCTCGCCAAGCACGCCGCCGCCCACCCGCCTCCTCGACCTCCCCAGGGAGCTCCTCGTGCGCGCCCTCTCTCGCTGCGACCCCCCCGACGTCGCTCGCGCGGCGGCCGTCTCGCTTCTCTTCCACGCCTCACTCGCGGTGGAGGGCATCCGCTTGTGGGCGCAAGAGCGCGGCTTTGAGCTGCCGGCGCAGCCAGAGAGCGAGGGCTGCGCCGTGCGGTGGATGTGCTATTCGGCGCTGCTGTGCGCGGCCAACCCGCCGGCGAGGCTGGCGGCAGGCTGGCGGCACAGCGTCTTCATTGACGGCGAGGGGCGGCTCTCGTCGTGCGGCTCAGCGGATTTGGACCAAGAGGGGCTCATCGGGCACGGTGAGGGCGTGAGGCGGCTCAACACGCCGACGCGCCTCCCTTCTCCTCTTCTGGGAGGCGAGCGCGCCGTGAGCGTGTCGGCAAGCGCACTCCACAGCCTGGCCATCACCGCCGACGGCGCTGCCTGGAGCTGGGGCTGGGGAACCTATGGCCGGCTGGGCCACGGCGACGAGCAGAACCAGCTGCTGCCCAAGAAGATCGAGGCCTTGGCTGGGCAGCGCGTCGTCGCTGTGACGGCAGGTGACCAGCACAGCCTCGCCATCACCGCCGACGGAGCTGTCTGGAGCTGGGGCGATGGAGGCGACGGCCAGTTGGGCCACGGCGACGGGCAATTGCAGCTGCTGCCCAAGAAGGTCGACGCCTTGGCTGGCCGGCGCGTCGTCGCCGTGTCGGGAAGCTACCACAGCCTCGCCATCACCGCCGATGGTGCTGTCTGGAGCTGGGGCAGTGGAGGCCTCGGCCGGCTGGGCCACGGCAACGAGCAGGACCAGCTGCTGCCCAAGAAGGTCGAGGCGTTGGCGGGAAGGCGCGTCGTCGCCGTGTCGGCTGGAGGCTACCACACCCTCGCCCTCACCGCCGACGGCGCCGTCTGGAGTTGGGGCGATGGAGGCTTTGGCCCGCTGGGCCACGGCAACGAGCAGACCCAGCTGCTGCCAAAGAAGGTCGAGGCCTTGGCTGGCCGGCGCGTCGTCGCTGTCTCGGCGGGGTGTCTGCACAACCTCGCCATCACCACCGACGGCGCTGTATGGAGCTGGGGTTATGGTCGCTTTGGCCAGCTGGGCCACGGCGACGAGCAGCGCCAGCTGCTGCCCAAGAAGATTGAGGCCTTGGCTGGTCAGCGCGTCGTCGCTCTGTCTGCTGGAGATGGCCACAGCCTCGCCATCACCGGCGATGGCGCTGCCTGGAGCTGGGGCAGTGGAGGCGATGGCCAGCTAGGCCACCGCGACCGGGAGCGCCAGCTCGAGCCCAAGAAGATCGAGGTGTGGGCGAGCCGGCCGCCCACGCCTGCTTCCTCTGACGGAGAGGACAGCAGCGACGGAGAAGACAGCGATTCGGACGAGTAGGAAGCAAGGTGATTTGGACGAGTAGGAAGCAAGGCGGGCAGCGGGGGAGGGCGAGTAGTGATTGATAGTACTCTCCAAGAGTATAATACACGCGGACCACGGTCTGAATTTGCCAATACTTTACAAATCCTCTCTAGCTAGCGCGTAGCGCAACCATTGATTCAGCCGCTTAGCACATTTTCACTCCCAGGGTGAACACATCTAGAGCACGTCTGGCGGCCCTCTCTATAGCCTAGTACACAAGCACGCACCATAAAGCACGCGGCTGTAGACGCCGAGCAGTTGTACAGATCACTCTATGTCGCGCGGCCGCACGCACTGCTCGCGGCGCGCGCCGACCCGCGCACACACAACAGCGCCATTGCAATACTAGCAGCTCTTGCCGCTCGCTCGCCGGAGGGCCGGCCGAGAGGCTGCGGCGAGCACGACGGGCAGCGCCAGCGCCCCGAGCGCCGCACAGAGCGCCGCCGGAGAGATCGGGAGAGATCGGGAGAGAACGGGAGATGGGGCTGGAGGTGCGCGCGGTGACGCCTCGTCGGCCTCGCGCGGCGTCGCGGCCGCGAGCGGGCGCTGCTGCGGCCTCCGAAGCGCCGCCTCCCCCGGCAGCACAGCCGCCGGCAGCAGGGCGTGCAGCAGGACGCCGCAGCCGGTGATGAGCAGCGCGGAGATCGCGAGCGACTCGAGGCTCCCCACGGCGGGCACCTCCTCACACACGTCGAGGTGTGAAGAGACGCTGTTCACAGCGAGCGACTCGCGGCTCCCCACGGCGGGCACCTCCTCGGCGTAGGAGCGCCAGCTCTCGCCGAAGGCTTCCGCCAGCCGGCGCTCCTCCGGCCCGCCAACCTGTATGATGACAAGAAGAAGCTCATCATCATCATTATCATTGTCTCAGCGCTCCTCCGGCCCGCCAGCCTGTGATGATAATGAGGAGGAGGATGAGAACCATAGTCACCATCAGCGCTCCTCCGGCCCGCCGACCTGCCGGCTTAGGTGAAGCGCGAGCCATATCTCCCATATCTCCCCATGTCTCCCCATATCTCCCCATACCTGCCGGCCGAGGTGGAGCGCGAGCCAGACCGTGCCGACCGCGCTGACCACGCTCGGCAGCAGCGCCGAGAGGGAGAGAGCGAGGCCGACACTCGACACGCAGATGGGGTTCCGGCTCCAGGCAAAGGAGGCGTGCGTGCAGAGCGAGTGCGGGGCGGTGGCGAGGCAAGTCCGCAGCGTGAGGACGGCGGAGACAGAGAGGGCCGAAGAGAGGAAGAGCAGGCCCAGCGCGCCTACCCGGTTGGGCGCGGGGTGGGCCGAGAGGAGGAGCAGGCCGAACGCGCCCGTCTGGACGAGCTCTGACGGTCGGGAGATCTGGGGAGATCTGGGGAGATCTGGGGAGGTATGGGAGATGGGGAGATATGGGGAGATATGGGGAGATATGGGAGATATGGGGAGATATGGGGAGATATGGGGAGATATGGGGAGACATGGGGAGACATGGGGAGACATGGGGAGATATGGGGAGATATGGGGAGATATGGGGAGATGTGGCGCCCGTCTGGACGAGCTCTGACGGTCGGCCGAGCCGCAGCGGGAGAGGCCTATGAACAAATCACGACACGCTGAGGGACGGGCAGCAAGGAGTACCGGCGGAGCGCCGCGGCGAGGAAGGGCCTCGCGGCGCCCGCGAGAAGGGGCGGCCAGGCGACGAGGAGGACGGGCGCCGCGGCGAGCAGGATGGAGAGGGCAGAAGGATGCCCCTCCTCCACCTGCTTGCCGGCTGCGCGGGCCGTGCCGAGCGCGCGGTCGAGAGAGCTGGCCTGCGAGCGGGGGTGGGGGGGTGGTGGGGGGGGGATCA